CGGGAGGGAAAGCGTAAAGTGCAATGGATCAGAAGCCATCGAGAGCTATTGCCTGCAACTCCTGACAAGGTCATTACCACCGGTCGGTGTTTAATGTGGTCTAAGGCCTCTCGTTGAGACGCTCCCCACAGAGCCACGGGGAAGGGGCCCTTCTCCACACAAGGACAAAGAGCTCTGGGTAGTGGCTCCTAGAAAGCTATGGAAACCAAGTAGCTAAGGTGCTCCACTCACTCCACCGCACTGCGGTGCGTGCCTGTGCAATACATGCTTTACAGGTGGGAAGGAGGCGCCACACCTGAGCAGGTATCCCCCCTGGGGCCAAAGGGTTTCAGCAGGGAAGGGATGAAGACAATCCCGGGTACAACCTCCCAGAAAGCACACTGGAAACGGCTCCCTAAGGCTCTCAGGGAGGCCTGGCATGTTGCAGGTGGGCGGCAGAAGATTCAGAGCTGAAGAGAAAGCAGGATGAAGCTATATAGAGGCTTCTTAATATTTATCCTGAGGCTCAGGCAGGTGCCTTGCACACAGTGGGTACTCATAGCTGTCTGTGGACGCTAACGCATGTGTGATGATGTTAAGGGTAAGCTTGTAATACCTCGCCAGTCCCCCCAAGTGACCTTCCAGGTGAGCCCCTAGTTACTGTAGTGGATGGAGGTTGGGTGTTGAGTTCTGCAGGGGATGCACATAAAACCAGGGCCTGGGTTGACATGTGTGCTCCAAGGTCCATGAGGACATGTCAGCCAGGTCCGCTGTGAACTGAGGAGAGTGTCTCCCCGCCAGGCTGAAGTTGGGGGGCCAAGTTAATCCACTTGTATGATTAACTGGTTGGTATTCTGATTGTACTGTGACCATATTATAGTGATGGGTAATATTCCCAGCCCGGGAGCAGGCTGTGCTGTCCAAGTTTGTTTGCAAACCTGTGGGGAGGCTCTCCTGAAATATTTTCCCATGGAAGCTGTTCTAAATGGTGGTGAAATTGCGATTTCATTAATAATGTAGCTAAACTATGGTACTTATAATAGCAAAAACTAAATTCTGTAAGATTGTGCTCGGGAAAAACACACTGTTTGCTCACTTGGGCTACCTGGCTCTCACCTGCCCTCCAGGTGTGCTCTAGGCCTGTGCAGGGTGGACGCAGGTGGTGATTGCTGCCTCCGGTCTTCTCACAGTGACCCCAGGAAGTACAGCCCAAGCCTGCATATATTGTGGCACCAGAGATGCTCAGCTCACCCTCTCACCCTAAGCGGCCCTAAGTATCCCAGGCAGTCAGGCCCCTCACTCCTAAACCCCTTTGACCAGAAAAAGCTACACCCTCCAATTCTCTGTCCCCTTGTCTCATGGAGAGCTTGTCATGGAGCATCCGACTGTCCCCTGGACATCCCAGGATGACTTCATCTCCCTACGTCTTCCACTGCCCACCAGGACAGGTGGCCCTTCCATCTCCACCTCTCAGCCCCTCTGAAATGGATGAGTTGGGGAGAGATGGGGCTGGGGCTGAGACTGGTGTCAGATACCATCCAAGAGAGATCACCAGGAACATGGTTGCCAGGGCAACTGGCTGCTCATTTGAATTAAGACAGTGGTTGGTCGTCCCCACCAGCACTAGCCTCTGTCCCCAGGTACAGCACCCTGCTGTCTCCTAATCTAATGGCCCTGCTCCAGCTCCAGCTCTGGGCACAGAATCCTGAGACGCAGGTCTCATCTGCTTCCATAGCCTCAGACCAAGGACCCAAACCCTGAACCAGGCCTCTCTTTTCCCTGCCCAGCCTCCCTGGAGTACCTAGAACAGTGCCCGGGGCATGAGAGACCCTCACGTACCTGTTGAATTAATGGGTGCGCTAGTGAAAGGCACCCAGGTGATTATTGGGGACACACCCCTTCCCACTTAGTTCCCAGCCTCCTCCCTCGGGTTTTGCCTTCTCTGTCCCTTCTCCCAGCTCCATCCCTCCATTCATCTCCATTTCTACTCCTTTCCTTCCCAGCCTCTGTCCCAGAACTGCCTCTGGCAACTGGAGTGCCTGGGAGGGGGGGCCAACTTGGTCCATCTTGGGGGATTTAAGCTAATGAAGGACAAAGGATGGTAAAGAAGGGGCTTCCTAGTCCAGTGCAGGCCTGGGGATCCCCCACAATGTGCACCCAGCTCAGCTGGGAGGCCATTTCTGTCAGAGCAGGTCTTTCCCCACCGCTCAGTGGACTCAATTCCTTATTTCTGGGGTTAGGGGGAGGGTATAGAAAAGGGGTAGTCGCCTTTTCAAGAAGAATATAAGTGGTCTAAGTTGTACAGTATTTGTCAGTATTTTTTTTCCTGGGTAATTCAAACGCGTCAACAGAAAAACTTATTTAAATAAAATACTTTGAAAAATAAAAGCCACACCTGGTCTCCTTCCTTGCTGGAGTCGGTCCTTTCTTGACATTCGATATGACCCTCTCCCAGACGTCACTCATTCAGGAATGATGGATACAGGGCCTCCCTCTGGGATGCGAAGGTGCTGCCCCCACGTCCCTGTCCCCACCCCAGCCCTGGCTGAGTCCCAGGTCAGAGGACCGGAACTACCGCCTGCAAGCAGGTGCTGCAGGGACCAGGCATCCTCACAGGTGCCGGCTATAGAAAAGCACACGTGCCCCTGCAACGCCTGGGGAGCGCTCCCTTCAAGGAGGCCAGGCAACGTCTTCTTAAAGGAAGCAGGGAAACAGCACAAACTAAGTAAAAACAGACCTGTGAGTAACTCAGGTCCTGGGAAGGGGAGAGATCAAGTCCTCTGTAGAGACCTTGTACATATAAATATTTAGGTTTTTTCAAGTAAGCCATAGCTTTGCATTGATTATGAAATGCAGTGGTTTAGATACTCCAGACCCCTCCTCGATGATGCTAAGCTGGTCATCAAAGCAGAAACCATCTAGAACAGTGTTGTCCACTAGAACAAGGAAGGATGGGATTGTTCGTATCTACACTGTCCACTGTGGTACCAGCAGCACATACAGCTCTTGAAATTAAAATCTAATGGCATTAAAGGTGCAGTTGCTGAGTGACGCCAGCCATGTTTCAATCACTCAGCCACGTGCAGCCAGGGGCTGCCATGCTGGAGGGCAGGGCCCAGAAGCTCGTTCGTGGGGGGATGTCAAACACGCTGGCCTCAGCGAGGGCTGAGGAAGGCAGGCCTCCACCTTCTGGCCCCCGAGGCAGGGGATGTTTCTGTAGTTTGGGTGGATTCCTGGGCCCCCTTACCCATCACCACATGCTCCATGACAACCTGGGGGCCGGAACGAGGCTCCGTCAGCTCTCTGCCCTCCAGCAGGACCCCTGCGCCTCGCCAGTGCTGAGGGGGGAATGCGTAGGGGCGGAGCAGCTGCTGACGCCCGAGGGGAGGCCAGACCTAACCGCCATCAGCTCCACCTGCCCAGACTTGGCCTTGACCTTGGGGTGCAAATACGGATTTGGACAATGCCAGGAGCACTCTCAGCTGGCTCCTTGGCCTTTGACCCCAGCATTATTACCAAATTCAAAGTCACAGGATTACGAGACTGAAATAAAGAGTCCCTTCAACACAACTTTTGGTCTCTGTCTTAGGTTCAAAGGGATGTTTTCAAAGACCTGTGACAGGTCACTCTAGGGTGTGCACCCAGCTCCTTCTCGAGGCTGTTTATTCCATGAGGATTTCTGACTCTTAACCAGGTGCCGGGCACACCAGGCGCCAGTGGTACGAAGTTGTCTGGAGGGGCTCACAGCCTGGTTGGGGGTACAGGCAAGCAAATCCAGCATTACAGCAGGGTGGTTTCCGGACAGGCTGGGGAGCTGCCCAGAGTCTGGAGGGGGAAACTGGGGAAGGAGGGCACCATTCGCAGAGCCTACAACCTGAACCTGCCACCTGCAGAGGTGACGTGGGGACAGCCTGACAAGGACCATCGTCAGGGTGGGGGCTGGGACTCAGGATGAGGCTTGTGCGGATTCTGAGACCAGCTCCAGCTCCCACCAGGTAGGTCTGTTAGGCCCATGACTTAAGTCTGAAAAGCAGGAGAGTTCCTGGCAGTGCCTATCACAGGGGCAGAGGAGTGAGATGATGCCTACAAAGCCGTGACACAGAGCCTGGCTTATAGTGAGTGCTCGGGAAATGCCAGCTGCTGTGATTAAGGGTAGAAGGAGACCACGAGGAGGTGTGTTCTGGAGGCCCAAGGAGAAGGAACCTTCCAGAAGAAAGTGAGAGTCTACAGAGCCATGCGGTGCAGACAAGTCAAGAGATGGGGCTTGAAAATAATGTGATTTTCTCTTCCACGCAGTGTAATACGTTCCCTAACTTCACCATACACTGCGCTGTCTACAGCATGACCAATAAACAGTCCCTTCCCATCCTGCCTGGCCCTGGTCCCCTCTGCCCACAGCCAAGCCATTCTAAGGTGGCAGTGCCCCCTGGTGGCCAGATCAGGAATGTTTGCGTCAATGTCATTTTCACCCCGCGAGCATCAACCCAGCTGGATCCCAGTTAAAGACTCCCCGGGGTTCTAAGGGACGTTCACCAATTTGTCCCTCAGACCACCCACCGTGAGGCCTAGCAGTGACTATGGCGTTGCCCAATGTGTCTGGGGGGAGGGTAAACATTTTAAAGCTTGATTCAAAAACACACAACGAAAACACATTTCAAAAGTACAGCTTGGCATTCAGCCAGAGGTTAAAACCGGGAGAAGGTGAGGCAATAGGTGACACTCTGGTCCTGGAGGGAGACTGTAGCTTTTAGGGGACATTTGTCTTCTTTCCCACTCACTCCTCCTGCTTCCAAATACCATTATTTGCCGTCATGTAAGAAAGAGACCACATCCAACCACGTTTCAGGTAACACAGACTGTGCCTTCACTCGCTCTGGGTTAAATTTAAGATTCAAGTGCACTTATGTGGGGAAAGGCACACAAGGCAATTTTTTTTAATTAAGTGGCTTATTAGTATTTTCTTCTTGAAGGGGAATTTGACTTACTTCAATGGTCACTGACTTCCCTACAGGAAGACCTTCCAAAGTGATAAGAAAATAAGCCATAAGCCGAAAGGATCTGACCCGGCATCCGTAAGCCGAAAGGATCTGACCCCGCGTCCCTCCCAACAATAAGCCTCCGGGAAACCCAGGGGGCTGACAGAGTGCGGGAGGGCCAGAGGGAGGCTGGAACCTGAACGGGAGTCGCAGGAAAGAGACTTTGGGAGGAACCATTTACCAAGAGAGTCAAATTATTTAAAGTTGAAATGAGTGAGAATTTATTCACAACATATGCAGATCTATGAAAGTAATTATGCAAAAGGCTGGAGAGAGGACACTTAAAAATAGCAGGCACTTGGAGGCTTCGGTTCCCAGCGCGCCGGTGCGAGTCAGAGCTCGGCTAAACACGAATCCGCGTGGTCCCTTTGGGTTCCCTTCGTCCCTTCGCTCCTCCTCGTGACAGCAATTTTTTGAAAGGGGGAGATTTACACCTTTTTCCTCAAAACCCAGTGGTCATGGGAGGTCACAAGCATCAGGCTACCTCAGCCCCTCGGTCGTCAGAGAGAACACCTCTCTGCTGCTTCTTTCTAGAGAGAAGGTTTGTATTAGCAGAGCTTTGAATATATATATACATATACCGATTTCCAGAGTTTTCCAATAGGTAAAGTGCTAGATTCCAAGAGGTAAAGTGCTAGATTCTATTTTTTTCTGCCCTGACCCTGTATATTTGTTACTGAAGATGGGCTGAAAGACCTTGTAGTGCAAGTGCTGTCCCTCCCATACACACTGTGCAACGACTATTGTGTTGGTCTTTAGGCCCCAATATAGACAGACAAGAATGCAGGTGACAGGGACATGCCCTCTGTGGTTTGGAGCTTGGTGACATGCTCTGTCTGCTGGTGATCCAGTATCTCAGGAACTAGAGGCTGACCTTCCCTCCAACTTCCATTAACCCGTCACCACGCCCCACCCCAGCCCAAGCTTGCGCAGCCCCAGCCCGGGGCTGGTCTTGCCTCATGCGATGATTGCTCAAATGGGTCATCAGAACGTTCTCGAATTTCCTCCTAGTGTCCGCTTCTTCCTGCCTAGGATGTCGTCCCCACTGTAGCCATGAGGGCGGATCTTCAACTCCACGTAAGGAATGGAAAATTCATGTCCTTTCCAGGGCTCCCAGTTCACCCCCTACGTAAAAAAGCCGACGTCAAGAAGAGGCACTTGGGAGGAGGGCAGGGTGGGTTGTGATTCAAAGGAGGCTTCTTCGCCTGGGGAACCGCACCCTTACGGCTGAGGGGCCAGAGACCCAGGTGGCCACTGGGGTAGTTACCGCAAGGAAAGTGGGGGTTGAATCTAGAAGCGTGCGCCCTCTGCTGGGCGGCTGGGGTGGGACAGGCTCGGAAGCCACCTTGCGGTTAGAGGACAGCTGGGGGTGGGGGGCCAGGACGCTGGTGAGGCCACAGCAGGGGCTCAGATAACAGGTCAACCTGGCGGGCAACAATCACATTATCTTTGCCTCACTTTTCTCCTTTCCAAAAAATTAAAGGCAAAAGTAAACATATTAATTGGCCAATTGTGTGAAATCATTTTCAATTTAGGCTGTTCAGATATTAGCTTTGGGGTAACCAACAGCCTGTTGGAAACTAAATTTCATTTTATGTCTCCTGACTGGTGAGCGCAATATTTAATTCACTTAATAACCACGCAACCTGGCCAATAAAGAGCCCAAGTGACCAATTTCATGTATTTTAATTTGTGAGGTAAATAATAAACAAGGAACTAAACGCCTTGCCGACTGTGAAAAGCACATTAACCAGATGAATGTATTTTATTAGCAAATACGGGCATGGTTTAGGGCACACTGGCTGCTCATTTCAAACAGCTGATCTCCGATCACAGGCTTCCCTGGGTCGGCCACAAGCTGCCACCGTGAATCCTGGGGCCACCCGCCCTGGCTTCCCGGGGGACACATTTCTTCTTCCCTTTGAAAAATCACCTCAGGATCAGGAGTCCCCACTGCTGCCTGGTCAGGGCCACAGTAAGCAAGATGCACCTGCACTCCAGGTGTGCTAGCATGACAGTGTGCAGGAGGCGTTCTGGGGGCCAGGACGGGGACCTGGGGTGGTGAACAGAAGCCCAGGACGGGGCCTCCGAGAGCTCACAGAGGATGGACTGATGCTGAGTGGGAACAAAGATGCAGTTAGCAAGATGCTGTGAGGAAGCAGGCAGGAGACAGCCGGTGGCCAGAGGAGTCAAGGTCATGTTCAGGGGTCAGGGGAGTTTGAGAAACTACTGGTGGGAAAGTCTCCGAGCAGGGAGGGGAGAGGAGCCTGCGAGGGCTGGGCTGTGTGCACACTGACACGGAGAGGCGGGCTCAGCACAGAGCTCCGGCTGGACTCAGGCTGGTTCTGCATGAAGTGGGTCCAAGGGTGGGTCTGACCCAGGGCAGGGAAGGACTTGAGAAAAATAGTCCTGTCTTAACTTGGAGAACAAATAGAAAGAATTACAAATTGTGTGCTATGGACAGAATTATAAAGTGTGTGCTATTATGTGCGCTGTTGGTGTCCCCCAGCCACTGCCCAAAATGCATATGTTGAAGCCCTAACCCCAATGTGAGGGTATTAAGAGGAGAGATCTTGGGAGGTAAACAGGGTTAGATGAGGTCATGAGGGTGGATTCCCCCATGATGGGACTGGTGGCCTTATAAGAGGGGGAAGAGACAGCAGAGGGCTTTCTCTCCCTCTCTCTCCCTGTCTCTCCCTCTCTCTTTCTCTCTCCATCTCTCTCTCTCTCACTCTCTCTCCCTCTGTCTCTCTCTCTGCCTCTCCCTCTCTCTGTCTCTGTCTCTCTCTGTCTCTGTCTCTCCCTGTCTCTCTCCATCTCTCTCTCTCACTCTCTCTCCCTCTGTCTCTCTCTCTGTCTCTCCCTCTCTCTGTCTCTGTCTCTCTCCGTCTCTCTCTCTCTCTCTCCCTTTCTTCGGTACATGAGAACAAGGAAAGAAGGCTCTTGCCAGGAACTAAACCTGCCTGCACCATGATCCTGGACTTCCAGCCTCCGGTAGCGTGAGAAATAAGTGCCTGCTGTTCAAGCCCCACAGTCTGTACGGTGTTTGGTTACAGCAGCCCGAGCTGTCTGAGACAGTGGCCATGTGTGAACGGGTAAAGTGAGACGGGGTGGGACGCACATCGTGTGTCTCTGCTCCGCAGTGGGCAGCCTGGGAACCCAGAGCGGGGAGGGGCTGCAGCGGACGGGCAGGGAGGGCCGGGACCTCAGGCCATGGAGCCCCGAAAAAAGCTCTCCTGCCCTGACTGGGAGCCTCAGAAGGAGAAGGGCAGACAAACCCCCCTGGAGGGTGTCACTTGGGGAGCTGAATGCTGGCAGAGCCAGTCACCTACCTCACTATGCTTGGTCTCCCCGTATCTGCCATTGGGGTTGGCCAAGTGGCAGTTCTTGTACCACCAGCCGCCGTGATGCGTCAGGGCACAGTTGCTGAGAGCGATATCGTTGTCTCTGTCAAAAGTTGTAAACTTCCACCCGTTGTGGTAAGAAAGAGCATCCCCTGCAGGAGATAAGACCTGAGAGGTGAGAGGTCAAGTTTTGCCACCGAGGGGTTAAGAACTTAGCAGGAAAATCTCTAGCATGAAAATGCCAAGGATCCAGTCTGCTATGGAGCAGGCGGTGTGACGCGGAGAATTTGAGAGCGAGCGAGCTCTGGTGTGTCTTCCTCTCCTTATAGGGGCACCAATCCCATCACGGGGGGACTCACCCTCATGACTTCTCAAAATGGCCAGACACATAGGCTCTCTTCCCTGGTCTGCCACCCAAACTCCAGGCCTGTTTCTCCAGTAGCTTTAACAGCACTTTCACTTAGAAGCTTCACAGCCACGTAAAATATCCGTATCCCCAAAAACAAACTCACGACTCTCCCCACAGCACCTGACCACCCTCTCCTGCACTCCCTGTCTCTGCTCGACCATCCTCCCAGCCCCCCAGGCCTGAAACCCCAGCCACATGACAATCCTGCCGTACCCCTTTAGCATGCCCCCCCTTCTCAGGTCACGCATGCACCTCTGCCACCTGGGGCCTGCTGTCATCTCTGGTTCTGGATCCACACAGCGGCCTTCCCAGCCCTCCTGAAGCTTAGGCATCCATCATCTCAGGCCTCAAGTCCCGTTTCCTGCCACACAGATGTGAATTTCTCCCCCTTTCTTTGCAGACCTGTACCTTGGCTGTTCCCTGTGCACAGTCTCAGCCCACTGTCCCCACAGGCAGCTTCCACCTGTGGGGTGGACAGGCCCACCCTCCATGCCTCCACTCACCCGTTTCTCTCTGCTCTCCATTGGTCCAAATCCTAACCACTCCTCAGAGCCCCACTCAGCCCGTCCTGAGGAAGAGTCTCCCCCTTAACCCTCTCACCCCCTCCTGACACCCTCCTCACACACACGCCGGAACTTCCGGAGCCCTCTGGGCACATTACCCAGTTTCGTGCTTCATGCCGTGATGTCTGGCAATCTGTAATCATTTTACTTGTCTTTCTCCTATTTCCCCAATACATTTGTCATCCTTTTAAAAGTTTACTTTTTAATTCAGCTCACAAAAGGCAATCAGGGCCCACATCAATCCCAAGCTTAATTAAGTTCTGTTCCTACAATAACAACACTTATGTTTACACCTTAACTCTGAGTTTACCCATCACTTTCACAAACATATTCTCATTGGACCCACAACAAGGCTTCGGGGTGGGTCGGGCACCTCCTAGTCTCAAGAGGAAACAAACTCACAAAGGTTAAACTCTAGGGACTTGTCCGGGTGCCCACCCCTCCCACATTGTCTCCTCCATGTTACCATGTCACCACACTCACCCCTTCACTGACCCATATGGAAGCTATTTGGGTCTCAGGGAATTTCTTTACAATATAAAACATCCCTAAGATTATACAGAAAGGTCCTGCTGGCAATATCTTATTTTAAACTCACCTACTGTGCTCCAGGCCATGCTAAGCCCTGGGAAACAAGAGCAAAGGCAAAATTCATGTGATTTTAAAAAAAAGTTAAATACTAAAACCTGAAAGAAATTTTGCATCAGCAGTTGGCTACCTCAGATCACAGTGTCTGCTCAGTCTTCTGCCGTTAGGGGTCGCTGAGCCCACAACTTTGAGAAGACCTGCAGGGTTTAAGAGTACACCCTGGTTTCCTCCCCTCGGCTCAGTCCTTGCTCAGTCCTGGACTTCGGGGCCTGGGGAGCCCCTTCCTTTCCTCCCATCTGAGTTCTACCCTTTCAGACCCGACTCCAGCCCACCAGCCTGCAGAAGCTTCCCGCAGTCACCTCAGCCCACAACATACCCACCTCCTCTGCGCTCCTGGAGCTCTTTAGTCTCCTGACCACTTAGCGGACTTTGCAAAAGTCACCTTCTATTCTTACTGGTCTGTGTCCATGTGAGTCTAAGGGGAGAGGCCATGTCTTATGCTGTCGGTCAGTCTGGCTGGTAACACATTCCTCCCTAGTTACACCAAAGCCAAAACCATGCAAAAGCCAACAATGCACCTACGTGTTAGGGTTTTAGAAACTATAAATATAGGTTTAACTCTAACACTAAAGCAATAACCCCACCTCCCCTCCTAAATAAAGTAGCCCAATGGCATCGTCCCAGTAGCTCCATCGCACTTGCTTAGTTTTGTTCTTTCCCTTCACAAATGAACACCAGAGAGCAGCTCGGGGAGGGGGGCGGGCTCCGGTCTCAGCTGAACTGCTCGTCCCTGGGCTGTCACAGCTGAATGACGTTCATGGGACCTATACTTCCTATCGCTGGCATCCGCACTTCGGCTTTTCTGTCTTTTTTAAATGATGACACGCACAGTGCTGTGCAGGGGTGGCAGCCCCCGGCTGAAGCCCAGTGGAAGGAGGGCAGCCCCCGCGAGGCAGGTGGCTCAGGCAGTGGCTCCTCGGCCAAGCACCCTGAACCGTACAAGAGGACGGTTTTCACTGGCTGGGGGTGCGGGGGGGTTAATGTATAGTGTTCCGGTTTTACAATGGCAGGCACTGCTTTAAGGACTTGGTTTACCCCCGACCTCCTGCTGGGGGCAGGGCCTCAACCGTCCATGGGAACCGTTCACCTTTGCAGAACAATGTTCCATCCCCAGATCCACGGCACACGGCAAACCAAGGCTGGGGCACCGGGCAAGGGGCCCAGCGGCCGGGACACACCGTCCTTACCTGCCGTGCCTCTGTACTTCCCGACGGTGAGCCTGTACCGCTCCTTGCTGGAGGCCACCTGGAAGAAGTCATACACGGCATAGGCGGACTCGTTGGCCGTCTGCAAGTCCACCCTCACCTCGTACCGGGTGGGGGTGCCGGTGGTCAGGTTGTGCAGCTGGTCGAGTCCTAAAACAGGAATTCCAATCACCCAGTGTCACCTCAGCCTTCACCTCCTCTGCTAACGGGGGGCTTCCCCCACTTTCTCTTTTGGGGGCTCATTTCTTGCCCTACTATTTCTTGGGCCCAGTCATGCTATTGAGTTGTGGAAGCCGCTTCCTCTGGGAGGGCAGAGTGGGGCAATCACGGTGGGAGCCGGCCCCCATCGGCTCATCTCTCTCAGGCATCAGCAGTTCATATTTGTTGTCCTCTCATCTCAGCAGGTGGCAGGGAGACCAGCCACTCACTGGACTGTCTCTGAGGGGATTCTGCACCCAAGCCCAGTCTATCAGGCTCCGAGCATCCAGGCTATGACTTTCTAATTCTTCATTTCCCAGTGGACGCTTCCTGCTCTCGCTCCATGAGCATCTGCTCAAGAACAGAGAGGAAGAGAGAGAGAAGGAGCAGTGTCCCTGATGACCGGCAGCACCCGAGGAATTTCTGGGACTGGTGTGACCTCCTACTAGGAGCCCGGAATCCCCATCCCTGGACGATTTTCCTACTCCTTTGGTTTTTAAGAAGTTCGGGCTCCAGGCAAATCCTATGAGGCTTGGAAACAGCAGAAAGACTACTTGGGACAGTCCCACCCTTTCACAGAGCACATGAGAAGCTTCCCAGCACTGTGGCCCCACCAGCGCACTGGCCGGCAGGCTCCGCAGAATGTCCCCGTCACTTGGGTCTCTTCCTGAATGTGGTGAGCTTCCTCTCCAGCTGCCCAACCAGGGGAAATCTCCCCTCCGCCACCCAGCCTTCCTCGATTCTCAAAGATCGTACCAAGCCAGAACTCCTTCATGGGGTCCCCAAAGCCTTCCACGTAGGTCCGCCAACGCTTGAAGAAGTCCAGCTGCCCGGTGTTGCGCCTCTGGAAGACCTGGAAAGGGAGATGGCCGTTTCCCTCTGAGGCTCTTGAACAGTGTGACTGAGAGAGAGGGGACAGCAGCTGGGACTGGGACTGCCCTGAGGACAAGCAGAAGGAAGAATGGACAGACGTGGTGCCCGACTGAGAGCGGGACAGAGAGGGGAGGGAGTCAGCGATTGCTGTGGACCTGGCTTGCGGCACCGACTGGACGGCTGTTCACTGAGCTGCGGGCTCTGAGAGAAGGTGGGCTTTGTGCGGGCACCATGAGCTCCTGGGGACACGGTAAGTGTGGTCAGGTGGAAGGCCTCCATGGTACCTTCTGTTCTGATGTTTTCAAAGATCAATCGGGAGTTTGCCCTTCCAACCCAATTACTGCCTTTCGGTCACCAGTGTGCGGATGTTTTCTCGCTGCTGCTTATCAGGTGGCGTTATTTTACCCATGGCTGCTCAAGGGTCTGGTTTCCCAAGCCCCTGAGCGAACGTGTGAACAGATGCGCTGTGAGTGTGCCGGGCGCACGCGTCCTGCTTCCCCGAGCTGTGGGTGCACAGCGGGCAGAGCCGCACGCTTGGCTGGGGCCGCGAGCGCCTCCGTCTGCTCAGGCACGGCGAGCGGGGCTGCGGGGGGCGGAGGGATCACACTGCAACCTCCCCGGCAGCCCTCGGGTCCCTGGGCCAGGCTGCTGCCATCCGAGAGGGTGCCGCGTGGCTTCAGCAGACAACGGCCCGAGAGAATAAACCTCCGCATAGACGGGACGATCGGGACAGTGCCACGGGTCCCTCTCTCAGGCTTTCGCCTTTCAAATCACAGTCCCAAAGGCCGTGCTTCTGTACTGAGGAGCCGGGATGAGGGACCTGACAACGGGCTCCAGTTCAGAGGACGGAGTCCCCGAAGAGGTCGTGTGTTTTGGGCGACCTGACATGACCCACTGGGAAGACCAATGGTCGAGGACGGGGCTGCAGTCCCAAAATGTGGTCCCAACTTTGTCACTAATTCTTTATCCACAGGCCTCACTTGACCTAACTGTAAAATTGGAATCTGACCTTGCTCACTTACCCTAAAGCCTTTGTGTGAGGGTCATGTTTGTGTGAGGGTCATGTTTGTGTGAGGGTCATGTTTTGTGTGAGGGTCATGTTTTGTGTGAGGGTCATGTTTATGAGAAAGTAATAGTTGAAGAGAGTCAAATGGGGGTAATACACATATACAGGCATGATGAGATGGTGGCAAGCCCAGCAGCCTTACAGCCATCAGCCTCAGTCTAGCCAAGCCTGCGCCGCCCCAGGGTGAAGCACCTCAGGCCCTGTTGGTAGAGGGGCGGGACCCCTCTAAACACGGCTGCAGGCACCAAAGCTCCCGTCTCTGTGGATAGAGAGGAACTAGAGCTGCCTGGGCTGAGAAGGGGGCATGGCCGGGCTCTGCGAGACTCACGATCCAGCCGCCGCCATCCGTGTCCATGTCGCAGTACACCTGCAGGGGCCGGCTGGCGTCGCCGTGCAGGTAGATGGTGTACAGGCCACTGGCAGCGTTGCTGTTCTGCTGAACTTGACTGCAGTCCGACGGGTGTGGGAAACGGGCACCCACTAGGAGCCGAGCAGAGGGCAGCGTCGTTAGGAGAAGGGCAGGTGGCTAGTCCCTATTTTAAGTTAATTCATTTTGCTCGGGAACAATTCATAACCTCCTACTGCTATGCTCCTTCCAGCTCTTCTCTCAGGCCTCGTTTCTCACTCCACTCTCCCCGAACCCTCCAAATGTACTAGAAATAAAGGTCAAGTTCATACCACCTCCTCCCCCAACTGCCTCCAAAATAATATTCCATCTTGCTCCCCTCTTTAGTCTCTCCACCAGGGGGTGGACTTGTGAACCGGTATCCCTTTCCATTCCCCCATCCTAGAGAAACCCGCAGCCCTGCAGCCAACGCGCTCCTGCGTCGACACCTCTCCCGGCCTCTCCGAGGCTCGTCCTCTGACATTCTTGTTCAGCGGGCAGGAGTCCACGTTACCTGTGGAGAGGACAGTGGATACACTCCTGCTCTGGCGATCACCCTTGAAGGCAACCAAGGAGACAGGGTAGGTGACACCCTGCTCAAGGCCTTGCAACTCAAACCTCTGGTCCCCTTGTCTGAGCCGCACCTCCTACCAAACAAAGGAGACAGGAGGCAACATTCAGTGTATCACGCCCAGCATCCTGGCATCATAACATTTCCTGAGGCCAATGCCAGCAGCTCTTGGACAGCACAGTGTTTGTCCCTAAGGGCTCAGTGGCAGCCCAGGGCCCAGTGCCTCCCAGCAGCTTCTCCAGAGGGCCCTGCTTCGGAGATTCAGCCCTGCTGGTAGCATGAGCTGGGAGCCAGCGTGAGGCAGGAGCACTGGGGGCCCCCCGCCAGTCCCCCGGGGACCTCTGCCTAGCAGACGCACGCTGGGGCACTCAACGCCAGGCTGAGAAGCTAGGAGGGGAGGTGAAACCATCCCCGTATCTGCGAGGCAGGGAGATGGTTGGTTTCTCAGCAGACTTCCTTCTGAACCCCTCCCTTCCTCCTGCAGGGCTGCCCTAAGCATTTGTTGAGATGATTAAATCAGTGGGCTCTCCTTTTTTCCTTCCTCCCTTCTTCCTTCCTCACCAAGGAGAGAGGAAAATAATTTTCCATTGGGACAAATTTTGAAAATTTTCTGGTCTTCAGATCCCAGGTGGGAGCTATCATCTTCAAAATAAGGGTTAATCCATTCATTCAATAAATCTTTATTGAGCACCTCACCCAAATGGTACGTGCTCAACAAAACAGACAAAAAGTCCCTGTCCTCACGGAGCTAACACTTATTAGGGATGACAGGCACATAACAGGGGGCCGATGTACGGCCAGCAAATACGCAGTGGTCAGCTGGGAGCAGGGACAGGCTAGTCCCATAAAATGAGGCCTGATGTTCACAGGCGACTGCGTTGAGCACTGTCCCTTGCACACAGCAGGTGATCGGTGAGGCCCAACTCATTTATCAGCAGGATGTCATGGGACCAGCAACCACACCGGCTGACCCGAGTCGGTTGCTTCATACGGGGCCGGGCATGGGCACCATGAGAAGCAGCAGGAGTGTCCAGTACCTTAGTGGTGCCATCTGGGAACTGGTAGGTCAGCATGTAGCCATCGATCTGGGCCGAGGGGGGTGTCCAGGTCAACACCCCACCAGACTGTGTCACAGCAGACGGACGAAGGTTTCTGGGAGGGTCGATGTCTGTGTTTGGAAAGTCAGGCAATTATTACTACCGAGGTAACGGGGGCAAGGTACTTTCTGAAGCGTTACCGTATTTTCTGCCTCCCATTCTCCCATTTCTTTCCCTCCCTTCACGGAGGTAGCACGCTCTGTTCTTCATTGCCAAAGGCCCTTTATGACCTTCGTTTCCAAAAATGTAGATCCACTGAGGACAAGGGTTAAGGTGCAGGTGCCTGGGTGGATTCACTCCCAGGTGGGGTGACCCTGGGCGCCCACCTGCCCAGCAGACTCCACGAGGGTGGTGGGAAGGAGCAACCTAGACTAGCGGCCG